AAGAGCTTGTAACTCATAAATACCTTATAAGATACTCCTCCAGGTATTTATGGCTGACTAAAATCCTCCTGCCCAGGGTGCAGCGGAACATCGACGTCTTGTTGGGGTTCAACATCTTGATCAGGCTGACAAAGGTGAGGGGATTCCACTACATGCAGCAGTAGTATGTTGCAGACGAATAGGTCCACAATCTTTGTGTCCACCACAGACTGATGGATGCTAGTGTCAGCAGCAACAAATGCTTCACCAATGGTGGTCTGGCGTGCTCTTTTTGCAGGCAGCTGTGACGACTGGCTGCAGCTCCTGCTAATGGCGCTACCACAAGAAGATTGCTCGTGTTTTCCATGGGAAGATCTGGCCTTGATTCTCTCCTCAAACTTGATGGCATGCGCTGGGTGTTTCCTCTTAACCCCTTGACTGTCGCAACCCCCAATCCTGAGGTGTCTCCTGGTGCCCAAAAAAAAAAAAAAAAAAAAAAAAAAAAAAAAAAAAAAAAAAAAATGATAGAGAATCTTTTCCCGCTTGTAATGACACAAAAAAAAAAAAATTATGGAAAACTGACGGAATTATGCTCTTGCAAAGTTAGAGACCTTGGCGATATTTACAAATCGGCGATTTCGCCCACTTTGAGCCCTTTTTTCGGCTAATTCCATTGTTCCAATCGACCGAACTCGTAGCTATTTCTTTAGAACTCAATTTTTTCTATCGATTGACACAAGAAACTGTCCATTTACCGATTTCAACTAACCAATAACGTAGTCAGAATTTTGCAATTTGGCCAATTTCATGAAAATTAAAAAATATGACAATTTCAAAATAAGGTCCAGAATGAACAACGCAGACATTCCTGGCTCTAAAATAACATTTTCTTTGTTCATCAGTCATGTCTCCAGGCCCCTCTGATATTACTCTTGCTTTCTATTTTGAATTTTAATTCAAACAAAAAATAAAAGATTTATTGTTATGCAGACTACTGCAATACTGTAATAATTGTACAAATAATGTCAACCCATTCATGACTGCATATTAGAATGGCTAGTTGGACATTTATTGGACAATGACATCATTTGTTTACTTTTGAACATCGGCAAAAATCAAACATTTCTCCTACTTCGAGCTCCATTTCCAGGTTCTTTTTATAGTAAAACCAATCAAAATCACCTCTATTTCTATAATATGTTTTCCATTGTATCAAATGAGACCAAGAAAATGAGAATACAACCATAAATACTATACGAAAATAGACCACAAAGTCGGCATTTTAATGAAAAAAAAAAAAGGTCGGAGTTTTTTTCTCATTATGCACTGCATGCTGCAGGATTTTTTTTATATGGTGCACACTGACCACACAGATCCATTCTCTCACATGTGGGCCTACCAGATTTCTCCTGCTTGATTTGAAGCCGCTAGAATTTATGAGTATATATGTCAAAAACGGTGGCTCATAAGACGTATATATACGGCCAAAACAGTCAAAGGGTTAATGTGCAACTTCAAGTTGTAGAGGCTTGCTGCCTATCCCTTGATGATGGTTTCCTTGGGCTGGCACATGACGCACAGAAGTACAAAATACAGTGGACCCTCGATAATCGTAAGGCTCAAAAGTTGTAATTTTCAAAAATCAAAACGTTATTTTTGTCAAAACATTGGCCTGCGAATTGTCGTCTGACTCGCAAATAGTCATTCTTCCCGGACGCGTACTCACAGCCCCGAGCCGCCTCACCCTCCCTTCCTGGCCAGTGTGCCATTGTTTACCAATGAGCGACGGTCCCCTCACTTGTTCATACGAAATATTTCATAATACGTATTCCATTCATTTTAATGCTTGCAACTGCTAAATAAGCTACCATGGCTCCAAAGAAAGCTCCTAGTAAAGGTGAGAAATACAACTGAATTCAAGAAAAACATCATTGAACAATATGAAAGTGGCGTACATGGCCAAACTGGTCAGGATGTATAAGAAACCCCATACAACCATAGCTTCCATCGTGGCCAAGAAAAAGGAAACCAAGGAAACTGTTGTTGCAAAGGGGGTAAATATGCTAACAAAAATGAGATCACCAGTACTCGAAGATGTTGAGAAGTTATTATTGGTATGGATAAACGAGAGACAATTAGCAGGAGATAGTCTTATGCAGCCGCTTATTTGTGAAAAGGCTAGGCAGTTGCATGACGATTTCGTAAAGAAATTGCCTGCAATGAATACTGATATTTGTGAATTTAAGGCCAGCAAAGGCTGGTTTGAGAGACTTAAGAACCGTAGTGGCATACACAGTGTGATACGGCATGGCGAGGCTGCCAGTTCGGACAAAATTGCAGCTACAAAATTCGTAAGCGAATTCAAGGAGTACATAGAGGCTGAAGGATTGAAACCTGAACAAGTGTTCAATTGTGATGAAACAGGCCTCTTTTGGAAGAAAATGCCAAAGAGGACCTACATTACTCAGTAGGAAAAGGGACTGCCGGGACACAAGCCTATGAAAGACAGCCTGACGCTCATGTTCTGTGCTAATGCTAGTGGGGATTTCAAAGTGAACCTGTTACTAGTGTACCATTCTGAAAATCCCAGTGTGTTCAGGAAAAACAATGTCGTCAAGAGTAAATTGTGTGTGTTTTGGAAAGCTAATAATAAGGCATGGGTCATGAGGGAAATTTTCCTCGAGTGGTTCAATAAAGTGTTTGGCCGTAGTGTGAAGAATTACCTCCTGGAAAACAAATTAGATCTCAAGTGCCTCCTGCTAATGGACAATGCACCTGCTCATCCTCCAAACTTGGATGACCTTATTCTGGAGGAGTTTTGTTCATCATAGTAAAGCTCTTGCCCCCTAATACCACTCCTCTCCTCCAGCCCATGGACCAGCAGATCATTTCAAACTTTAAAAAACTCTACAACAAAGCAATGTTTCAAAGGTGCTTGAATGTGACCTCAGACACTCACTTGACCCTAAGAGAGTTTTGGAAAGATCTTCCACTGCATAAGCCTTATAGGTAAGGCTTGGGAGGGAGTGACTACGAGGAATTTGAACTCTGCTTGGAGAAAATTGCGATCAGATTGTGTCCACAAGAGCGATTTTGAAGGGTTTGGGGGCTGACCCTGATGAGCCTATGACAGTTGTGAAATCTATTTTGGCATTGGGGAGTTCCATGGGGTTGGATGTGGAAGAGTTGGTGGAGGACCACAAAGAAGAGCTAACCACTGAGGAGCTGCAAGAGCTTCAGCAAGAACAGCAACAGACCGCAGCTCAGAATATTGCTGCAGAGGAGGAAGAGAAGTGGAAGAAGTTGCCTTCTTCAGAAATTAGGGAGATTTTTTAAATGTAGGGTAGGATGGAAAGATATATGGAGAAACATCACCCTGACAAGGCTGTTGCAAGCCATATCGGCAACTTGTACAGTGACAATGTCTTGGCCCATTTTAGGGAAGTTTTAAAGAGACGCCAGAAACAGCTTTCTGGACAAGAATTTAGTGCCACAGGTGTACAGTGACTCTCAAGCTGGTCCTAGTGGCATTAAGAAACAGAAAAGAGAAGTAACCCCAGAAAAGGACTTGGTACCTGAGGTGTTGATGGAAGGGGATTCCCCTTCCAAACAGTAACTAATTCAATCTCTCTCCTCCTCCAGTCTTCCATACACTAAGAAGAATCGCCAATAAAGGTAAGTGTTATGCTGTTAATGCTTCATTCATCATGTCCCATTGTATTGTGTATGTACTACATCTACATTTCATGTAAAAAAATTTTTGTTTTAATACTTCTGGGTGTCAGGAATGGATTAATTGTATTTACATTATTTCTTATGGGGAAAATGGATTCTAAAATCGTCAATTCCGATAATAGTCATACTTCCAGGAACGGATTAATTACAAAAAACAAGGGCCCACTGTATTGGCATTCTTTATATCCCTTGACTTGAGGACAAAATAGTCATCCAGGTGGGGCCATGGGTTCTGCAACTCCTGGCCCTCAGCCTGAGTGGCCTCTGCTTCAACCACAGCCACTGCAGACTCCTCAACAACACCCTCAGGAGGAACAGAAATGTCTCCCCTGTTCATAATGATAAGTGACAATGCACCATGGTGATCGCTGATATTTTAAGACTATAACAATGCTACTCAGATGCTGCTGTGTTGACAAGTCATGTTTACACATAGTCAGCTAATAGCATGCCTGACCAACTGTTGGAGAAACGCCCACAACAGACAAGAACAAACACGTGCATCATTGAAAAGGCATTGCTTTCCAACTACCAACAACATATGAATTTTTTTTTATCGGATTCAACGGTTTCCAAAGTTAGCAGAAAAACTAATCTGCTAAACAAAGTTAGTTCTGCTATTAGTGGTTAGAGGATTAGTGGAACTGTGCCCACCACTGTATAAATTAAAATAAAAATGAGAAAAAAGGTATCAGCAACACTTCTGCAAGCGGCAGGAGTCCATGTTGCCATTAGATCAGCATCCAGTGCCAACTTCGCGGCCTTATATCTCTGTAAGTATTGATCCTAATTTTTTTTTTTTGTCTTATTACACACAGAAAATTGCCCTCATTGATTAAGAATTTTTTTTTTTTTCAAAATATTCGGAGCACTGCCAGTGAAAAAACAGATCTACATTTGGACAGCTTAAGGGTTAAGGGTTAAAGTATAGACATTATATGATTACAGACCTGTTATTAATCATACATTTGGTAACCTTTTCAAATAATTTTTGTTTGTAAAATATTAGATATAACATCCGAACAGTAATTAATTCATAAATCTATTTCTATATAGACAGACAGCTTGTAACGATGATGGTGACTGTCAACCAGTCACCATCACCATTACAAGCTGTACTAATTAATTCATGAAAATAGCCTTTAATCCTTTTTTTAGTACATTTGAGTTGTCTTTTTATGCAACTGTATATACTTGCAATGAGAAATAAAATACTGTAAAGTTATACAATACTAAATAATGAAAAACAAATTCCATTTTAAAAGCAGTGCACTAAGATTACTAACTCTTGAGTAGGTACTGGGTCCTCCAAGAAGTATGGGTCCTGCATTGCCTGCTCAGAGGTGATTCGTTTAGTAGGATCCATTGTCAATAGTTTCTGTAACTGCCATTAGGAAGAAGCTTTATTAGTATAACACATGTTCACACGAATGTTTAAAACTTCAACCACGTACAGTATAGTATATAGTATTCACAAAGAGATCAAACTTCTTTTGTATGACAAGAAAAAAAAGGGATAGCTATGAGTGTTATGAAGTCTCCAATAGAGACTTCCATTGTTGACTTTGAGCTTTACATGAGCTTAGTCTATCAAACGTTCAGTAGCCTTCCCTTTCCCCATTACTTAACATGCATGAGAATGTTTTTCATGAAATTTTTACCTAGTGAAACAATTCAAGCATATTAACACAGTATACAGTGGACCCCCGGTTAACGAACTTTTTTCATTCCAGTTGTATGTTCAGGTGCCAGTACTGACCGAATTTTTTCCCATAAGGAATATTGTGAAGTAGATTAGTCCATTTCAGACCCCCAAACATACGCACTTACATAAATACACTTACATAACTGGTCGCATTTGGAGGTGATCGTTAAGCGGGGGTCCACTGTATATGTACAGGTCGGCCATCACTAATCCAGCACTCAGTAATCTGGTTCCATCAGTAATCTGGCACTAATTTCAGCTAGCCTAATTTCAAATTGCTGGGGTCGCCACACCAACTTGTCACTAGTGTTTGGTGGTGCTACTTGCTGCCTAAGTCATTCCAATTTCTTTTTCTCCATTTATTGTTATAACCTGCACACTTTTAGCCCAAGCCATGGTTCCAATGAATAAAACAAATGCTTCTCGTTGTGTAAAGCACATACACCATACATAAAAGATGAGGTGGCTTTGAAGCCACTGTTAGACGCCATGAGCTCAGCTCACTCAGATAAGCTGTGACCGGTAAATCTGGGCCTACATATGAGAGAATAGGGCTGTGTGGTAATTGTGCACTATATAAAAAAAATCTTGCAGAACGCAGTGCATAATGAAAAAAACTGCGGCCATGTTTTTGGTGTAAATCAGCAACTTTGTGTATTTTTGTATGGTTTTTATGGTTGTACAGTGGAACCTTGGTTTTCATCTTTAATTCATTCCAGAAAGTCTAACGAAAACTGAATTCAACAGAAACTGAAGCAATATTTCCACATAAGAAATAATGTAAATCCAATTACAGTGGACCCTCCTTTTCATGATTAATCCATTCCAAAGAGCCTGACGAAATGTGAAATTCCCGAAAACTGAAACCATTTTCCCCATAAGAAGTAATGTAAATCCAATTAATCCGTTTCAGACACCCAAAAGTATAAACAAAAAAAATATATTTTATAGAGAATAACTATAGTCCACGACTTATTTATCTATCACAATTCATCTAATATGACATAAACAATATTAATAAATAGAAACATGATATATACTCTAGAATGAATAAAATGTCATTACGTATGTGAGGAGTGGTGGTCGTGTTGTTGTTCTTAGGTTTATAAGGGCCACTGAGAGAATAAGCCGAACTTACAGTGGTAGTAGAGGCGACAGCAGAAGCCACCAATACTATTCACACAATGCACATAATTTATAAAAAAGAAATATTTACACTTTAATTTATAAATAAGAAATACAGTGGAACCCCGAGTTTTGGCCGTAATGCCTTCCAGGAGCTAGGCCTAAACTCGAAATGGCCGAAAGTCGGAGCAATATTTCTCAAAGAAATAATGTAAATAAAATTAATCTGTTCCAGACCCACAAAAATATTCACAAAAAAAAAAAAAAAAAAAAAATTTAAATAACTAAAGTTTAACATATATATAGTACTTAAAACATACATATAGTATTAAATGAGTAATACAATACATAACTAAACATTTAAAATCATATTTATGTACCTTTATTGAAGATTCTTGTTGGTATCTGGAAGATAGGGAGGAGAGAGGGAGAACTTATTATTGCCTCCACCACTGCCTCCGCCACTGCCTCTGCCACTGCCTCTGCCACTGCCTCTGCCACTGCCTCACTGCCACTATGAAGTTTCCTTGGGCCCATGGTGGCTTATTTCACAGTCACAATCAATAAACAAGCACCAAACACAATGAATTTATTGTGAAATGTTCGGATGAGCACGCAGGATAATGTTCACTCGAGGATAAACAAAGCTAGACTGGCTCACGATGCCTGTGCGGGGAAGTGTGCAGGCGCGGACAGGTCTGGTACGCCGGCTGAAACTCGGGACAAAATTTAGCCGTAAAAAGCACTCGAAACTTGAAGCAGCAGATACTCAGGGCGGCAGAAACTCGGGGTTCCACTGTATTTACATAATATAAAAAAGAAATATTTACACAAACTGTACCTTGGAGATGCTGGCATTGGTTTAGGATGGTGGAAAATAGGCAGGGCAGAGTATGTTTGTCAGTGGCCCTATATACATGTACCTCCAACAGTATTGGAGGAGTCAGTTTTGCGTCATCCTTTTATTCCCACTTAATTGTTTAACTTACCTGCACACTGTTAATGCTACACTTTATCACTGGCTGGCACTATAGCCTTTACTGACTCCTGCTGCTTTAGTATTGTACATATCGTAGAATCACTGAAGGCGGCTCATTCTCCCCTCTCTCTTCCTCCTCCACTTTGGTACTTTGCTACGAGTTTTTTCTTGAATTCTATCATGTTTCTCACCTTCTTTATCAACAGGCTGGCACTAGCAGCTTTCAATGGGGCCATGGTGGCTTATTTAGTAGTCACACAGATTCAACAAGTACAAAAAACGATGAATTATTACCGAATGTTTTCTATGACTTTGCAGGATAATTTTCACTCACTGAGAAACAAAGTGACACTGCCTCAGAATGTGTGTATGGGAGGCTTTGTGTTAAGTGAGGAGTGTCCGTATATCAATCCCATAACACTGTGTAGAACAGATATAGTCTTAGGACAGTCTTAGGACCATGTCAGTCTTAAGACACTAAGAGATTATCCTAGTTTAAAACAAACAATGAAGATATAGTTCAGTGGAATACCAAAAAGTCAGCTCAATCTGTGCCAGATTAAGTTCAAGGCCAAGAAATCCATGGGAAATTTAAGAGATGGATATAATCACCTAGTTCATTTAGTTTTTAACAACAAACTGGCAAAGCTCTGAAAATTATGACTATCCAGTATTATGCAACGACAAATTTTCAAAGTTCTGAAGTTTACCTCATATCATTACATCAAATAATGCAATGCACTTACCAGCATGAAAGCCTTGCCATCAGGTTTGATCTTGTGTCTATCCATATATTTAACAAGAGAACAATTGGAGTAACTGAAAGATAGAGAAGTAAATTAAAACAATAATAAATACAAGATCCTTGAAAATAAGTAAATAAATAAATGGGACTAGGTCAGGGGTTTCAAATAGAGTTAGAGCTAAAGAAGGAGTAGCAAAAATGTTGAAGGATAAGTTATGGCAGGAAAAGAGGGACTATAAATGTATTAATTCAAGGATTATGTGGAGTAAAATAAAGGTTGGATGTGAAAAGTGGGTTATTGTAAGCGTATATGCACCTGGAGAAGAGAGAAGTGTAGAGGAGAGAGAGAGGTTTTGGGAATTGTGGAGTGTGTGGGGAGTTTTGAACCAAGTGTGAGAGTACTTGTGGTTGAGGATTTCAATGGTAAAGTGGGTAAAAAATGTTGTGAAGGTAGTAGGTAAATTTGGGGTGCCAGGGATAAATGAAAATGGGGAGCCTTTAATTGAGCTATGTGTACAAAGAGGTTCGGTAACAAGTAATACATATTTTATGAAAAAGAGGATAAATATACAAGGTATGATAAAGCATGTAATGAAAGTAGTTTGGTGGATAAAAAGTTGATGGGTAGGCTTCAGGATGTACATGTTTAAAGAGGGGCAACTGATATATCGGATAATTATTTAGTTGTAGCTACAGTTAGAGTAAGAGGTAAATGGGACAAGAGGAAAATGGCAACAACAAGTAAGTGAGAGGTGAAAGAGTATAAACTAAGGGAGGAAGAAGTTTGGGTGAGATATAAGCAACTATTGGCAGAAAGGTGGGCTAGTGCAAGTATGAGCAGTGAGAGTGGCGGGGATATTGAAGAGGGTTGGAGTAGTTTTAAAAATGCAGTATTAGAATGTGGGGCAGAAGTTCATGGCTACAGGAGGGTGGGTGCAGGAGGAAAGAGGAGTGATTGGTGGAATGATGAGGTAAAGGGTGTGATAAAAGAGAAAAATGTAGCCTATGAGAGGTTTTTACAAAGTAGAAGTGTTATAAGAAGAGCAGAGTATATGGAAAGTAAAAGAAAGGTGAAGAGAGTGGTGAGAGAGTGAAAAGGAGAGCAGAAGGTAGAGTGGGAGAGGCAATGTCAAGAAATTTTGATGAAAACAAGAAAAAAAATTTAGAGTGAGATAAACAAGTTACGAAAGCCTAGGGAACGAATGGATTTGTCAGTTAAAAACAGAGTAGGGGAGTTAGTAGATGGGGAGATAGAGGTATTGGGTAGATGGTGGGAATATTTTGAGGAACTTTTAAATGTCGACGAAGAAAGGGAGGCAGTAATTTCATGCACTGGCCAGGGAGGTATACCATCTTTTAGGAGTGAAGAAGAGCAGGACGTGAGTGTGTGGGAGGTGAGTGAGGCATTACGTAGAATGAAAGGGGGTAAAGCAGCTGTAACTGACGGGATCATGACAGGAATGTTAACCCTTTCAGGGTCCATGCCATAGATCTATGGCTTTACATTTAGGGTCCAAACCGTAGATCTACGCTATGAGCTCAGCTCACTTTGATAAGCTGTGAGTGCTAAATTTGGGCCTAGATATGAGAGAATACATCTATGTGGTATGTGTGCACCACATACAGCAAATCCTGCAGCACACAGTGTATAATAAGAAAAATAAAACTGAGACCATGATTTTTTATTAAAACAGCGACTTTGCAGTGTTTTGTCGTATGTTTTTTATAGTTGTACTTGCGATTTCTTGGCTTCATTTGATAGAATGGAAGATATATTACAGAAAAAGGGATGATTTTTATTGGTTTTAGCACTGGAAATGGCTTGAAACTGAGCTCAAAGTAGCGGAAATGTTAAATTTTTGCCGATGTTCAAGAGTAAACAAACGACTTTACACGTCTAATACACACCAGCTGGTGGGTCTAATATACATTCACGAATGTGGTGATGAAATTTATACAATTATTACAATATTGCATAACAGTAAATCTTCTATTTTTTGGTTTGAATAAAAATTCATTATGTGAATAAAAAATCAAAATGGAATTCATTTGTAAAGCCTCAAAACGTAACTAATGAACAGAGGAAATGTTAGTTTAGTGCCAGGAATGTCTGCATTGTTTATTCTGGACCCTATTTTGAAATTGGAATATTTTGAACTTAGGGTTAAATTGGCCAAATTAACAATTTCTGATCACTTTATTTTGTAGTTGAAACAGTTGACTGGGCGATTATTGTGCTTACAATCGATAGAATAGAAAAAGTAATACTAGTGAAACAGCTAAGAATTTGGTAGAGACTGAATAATGTAATCGGCCTAAAATGGGAGTCAAAGTCGTGCAAAAATCGCCGATTCGTAAATATCGCTGACACATCAAAATTCGCGAGAGCATAATTTCGTCAATTTTCCAACAAATTTCATACTCTTTGTTTACCTTCAGAAAAAGATTCTCTACCAATTCATAAGAAAAAATAACATTTTTTTTTTTTTAAATTCTTGGACCCTGATGGGCACTTTGAAATTTGGTCTCTGGACCCTGAAAGGGTTAAAAGCAGGGGTTGATATAGTGTTGGAGTGGTTGGTATTTTTGTTTAAAAAATGTATGAAAGAGGGGAAGGTACCTAGGGATTGGCAGAGAGCATGTATAATTCCTTTATATAAAGGGAAGGGGGACAAAAGAGACTAAAAATTATAGAAGAATAAGTTTACTGTCTGTCTCATAAATATGCAAGATTACAGGTATGTCTTGCTACTTCTACTTACGCTTAGGTCACACTACACATACATGTACACGTTTATTTATGCACACTCATCTGAGTTTTCTTTGATTTTATCAAAGCAGTTAAATTCCGTTCACTTCTCTTTTTTATAGTGTATAAAACATATACATGTACACCCTGCCTCGGTGGGAGACGGCCGACTTGTTGAGAAAAAAAAAAAAAAAAAAAAAAAAAAATATTACATTTTCAATGTAAAGCTGAAGATTTTTTCCTTCTAAAAATATCACCTACAGGTTAATAACCACCTTTGCAGCTTCAATGCAAAATTCTAATTTAAAATAACTAAATAAAAATAAAAAACATGACAATGACCCCTATAAAAAATCCTTTTATATAAATTATAATCATATTCTCCTGTCTCAGTTGCAGGTAACCAAACCTTTATAATCTATCAAACCCTAGCCCTCACCTCCAAAATATTCTGACCAACCTTTATCCCCGACCTTGAAAAAGGTATCCTTTCATAGTTTCCCCAGCAGACAACCCTAAATGTCGACAAAATTGGCATAAACCATATAGACCCAATGAACACAACATAAGAATAAAACCCAACAGGACTTAAAAGTCTAGTTCTGCCCTAACTATTTAATTACATAACCTAAGAGAGCCCCAACCCTCTCACTATAAAGCAAAATTTTAAAAGGGGACCTCAAACAATCAATAAGGCGCATGGTAATACTACTCAAGCTAAAACACAACCCTCGCTCATTACTGCCTCAATCCTTATTATTATTATGCCCTTAGCATTTATCCTATGCCTTTTCCTAAACAAATATTATAGACCTTATATTAGAGAAACACCTTAATCTATATAATTAACCGAAATGCATAAACATACTTGTTAAGCTAGTGCATAAACAATAAAAAAAATCTAAAAATATTAATTTCCCCTATAAATGAACTTCCAAATCAAATCACTTTGAATAAAATCCAGCCAAAAAGGTATACACACATAAAGCCAGATTAGCTAAATTTATACAAACCCTAGTTAAAGGTATACACATCACCAGCCTGCCCATATTCCGAATATCTTGATATTCTTTAACCCTATGAATTACCATCCCAGCACACACAAACAATAAAGATTTAAATAAAGCATGAGTCAATAAATGAAAAAAAGCAAGGTCAGCAAACCCCAAAGATAAAATACTTATAACACATGGGGAAGTGGAATAAGAATCTTTCCTCCGTAAGCCATGCGTGTTGTAAAAGTCAACTAAAATGCCGGGAACGATGGGCTAGTAACCCCTTTTCCTGTAAAGATTACTATAAAGAATAATAAGAAGAAAATTGTCAAAGTGGGAAGTCTGAATGTGCGTGGATGTTGTGCAAATGATAACCTGGAGTTTACCTGGAGAGAGTTTCGGGGGTCAACGCCCCCGCGGCCCGGTCTGTGACCAGGCCTCCTGGTGGATCAGCCCCTGATCAACCAGGCTGTTGCTGCTGGCTGCACGCAAAAAAACGTACGAGCCACAGCCCGGCTGATCAGGAATAAGAAGATAAGAATAAGAAAGATGATTGTGGATGTTATGAATGAGATGAAGCTGGATGTCCTGGCCTTTCAAGTGAAAACAAACTGAAAGAGGGTGGGAGAGTTCCATGGAGAGGAAATAAAGGGATTAGGTCAGGGGTTTCAATTGAGTTAGAGCTAAAGAAGGAGTAGCAATAATGTTAAAGATAAGCTATGGCAGGAAAAGAGGGACTATAAGTGTATTAATACAAGGATTATGTGGAGTAAAAATAAAGACTGATGTGAAAAGTGGGTTATAGTAAGCATGTATGCACCTGGAGAAGAGAGAAGTGTAGAGGAAGAGAGAGAGTTTTGGGAAATGTTGAGTAAAATTGCGTTGGGAAGTTTTGAATCAAGTGGTGAGAGTAATGGTGGTTGGGGATTTCAATGCTAAAGTGGGTAAAAATGTTATGAGGGAGTAGTAGGATAATTTGGGGTGCCAGGGGTATAATGTAAATGGCAAGCCTATTAAATGAGCAATGTAGTAGAAAGAGGATTTTGGTATAAGTTAATACATCTTATAATGAAAAGAGGATAAAAAATATACAAGGTATGATGTAGCACTAATAAAGTATTTATTAGATATGTTTTGGGTGGATAAAAGGTTATGGCTAAGGCCCAGGATGTACCATTATATAGAGGGCAACTGAATAAATCGGATCATTTAGTTTAGTTGTGCAACAGGAAGTGCAACAATAAGTAAGAGGGAGGTTACAGTGAATAAACTAAGGAGGAGGAATATCGGGTGAGATACAGCGTCTATTGGCAGAAATGTGGGGCTAGTG